TGCGAATTTATCCTCTACCCTCTCCAACCTTTTCCCCCCTGGCATCATACGGGGTACACAACTACATCCTCTCGTTTCATCAGCCGGCAAAGTCCCTGCGGGTGTCCTTGCAGGAGTTCAAAATCACGTACCAATCGTACTCGCCTGTACAATTAGGCCGTACTATTTGCCGTGCTGTTTGCCTCAACTATTTGCCCGTACTTAGGGTTTCTGCAAAGAATATATTCCAGTGCTGGGTAGCTCATGCGCAGGTGGGCTGCAGCAGCGGCAGCTACAGCCGCAGCAACATGATTAGGGCCATTATTGACACTTTACCGTCACACGCTCCCTTAGCGAAAAACACGTATATAATAATGGTAGGCGCGCGCAGCTAACCTGCAAATAAGGTTATCACCATCACCGCTAGCGTCGATATTGCCGTCACCACAACTTTTAGCATCATTAATACTATCAGAAATACACATATATAAATGCACCGTTGCCTGCCCCTGCTGTACTTCATCATTTCCTCAGTGACCGCAACCACAATTACAACCGCATCATTACAACCACCATAAGCCATAGGTTCGGCTTTTCTTTAAATTTTCATCAAGCAGTTGCCTCGTGCCTCTCCCCTCCTCCCTTTCATCAATTCCTCCTCCCTGGACCTCCCAGGCTGCTTCAGATCTACCGAGAGACACGTGTCCCAACATTTAAATTTCAGAAGGCCAAACACGTGAAATCACGTCAACCGAAAAACGCAACCGGAGACCGCAGTTGGGATCTGAGATTTCCAACAGACACAACGCTTTACTGACGCGAAAGTCCACACCGTAACCTCACCTCACCTTACCTCACCCCTCACCTCGGGAGATGTTGATGGCTAGACGACGACGCCACCGCCGCCGCCCCTGCTGCTGCTGCTGCTGCTGCTGCTGCAACCGACCGCGGTGACCGGTGCTTCTCCATGGCCCCGAAACCACAAGCTCCTCCTCCGCTGCCGTTGAGCCCCCCTTCCAGCAACCCCTGTAGGCAAGCCACTACGGCCGCTGCGTTGGGGCGCTGCAAGGGATCGGCCGACCAGCAAGCGTGTGCGAGGGCCCTGCGAACGAACAATTTAACATGGGGACATGGACATATGCACTTGCTCCGAAAATTAAAAACAAAAACAAAATATACAGTTGTGGCTCATAGCGCATTCCAACACTCGGAGACCAAAACACGCTCGCGCCTAGTATCGAACTTGGGTTTCTTCTGTAGTCAAAAGTTGGGTGTGAGTTGGAAAAGGAGAGTAAAGAGAAACTAGGAGGACACACATACATACATACATACATACATACATACATACATACATACATACACACACATACGCGCGCGCCGATGCTTAGCCCACTGTACTCCGGGTCCCCTTGTAGCCGTCACAAGACTGCATCCTAACTAGTTTTACACGTATGGGGTCACGCACCCCCAACCATGAACCACAAACACAGATCCTAACCAGACTGCGCTGTAGTCCAGCACTGCACTGCATTTCAATGCTCTAAACACATACATATATGCATACATGCATACATACACGCAACACACACACGTCCTGTTCGTACCTGTAGTGATGGGGGCAGTGGGAGGGGAAACGGGGCCGCAGTCCCTCCGCTACGAGTGCGGGCAAGTCCTATGGTGGCAGAGCCAGTCAAGGAAGTGGAAGAGTTCAGGGAAGAGGGTCAGCGTGGATGGATGCGCTAGAATGGAACTTGACAACGGATCTCAGATTTCGGGGTTCTGCACCTTTGCAGTGTGGAAGTGTAATTCGAGTGTGCATGTATAAACCGTACCAAATGATGATGATGATGATGATCACGATGACGAAAGCAAAGGCGCGGGATAGTTGTGAAAGGTAGAGACAGAAACCTGGTGGTGAGCAGACGATGTGGATTTGTGTGCAGCCTTGCAGTCCTGTCACACTACTAATGATGCCGTACAACTCGTACCTCAAAGTTGGGTGCGAACTCCGCATAGGGTGGCTTGCGTGTGAAGACCTCCCACATCACGATGCCGAACGCGTAAATGTCCACTGACGCATCCAGCTTGCGATCTGGGGGGTTAGTAGTCCGGGGAAGGGGGGAGTGAGGATGGAATGCATGGGACAGGGGGAGGAGAGTGTGTGTGCGTGTGTGTGTGCGGGGGGAGAACGGGAGGTGTTGCTGAGGGGAGAATGATGCCAGGGAAGCCATTACAACGAGTCAGTGGACCGCATCTGTATGCAAGGGGAAATAACTGAAGGACAGGGAGACCTGTTTAACCGTACATATGTCCGTACATCCGTACCTGGTTCAAAGCACTCGGGTGCCAAATGGGTGACCTGTGGAGGCGTGTGTACGGCAGGCGGGCAGTGGGAGGCACGACACATCATGGACTCGTCCAGGTCGGCAACTACCTAACCACCAACTGCCTGACTAATGGACTGATGAGCAATGAAGAACACATACCACCAACCCACCAATCACCCCCCGAAACACACAACCCAACCAACCCCCCTTACCGTGCCCGCCGCATCTGCATTTCGCATCCACGGCCGGTGTCCACTCGAGCTCGGCCTCGTCGCCGCCGTGCTGCCTCCACTTCCACCACTTGCCGAGGCGCCCCCACCCGCCCTCCTGCCCTCCCTGCCGGCATGCCCCTCCGGCTCTTGCTGCTCGGCGTCCTGCTCCGCTCCGCCCTCCTCCTCCCTCTCCGTCCGCAGCAAGTTGACCAGCCCGAAGTCGGACAGCTTGCACGTGAAGCCCCGTGGGTCGCTGGAGGACGACTTGAGCAGTACGTTGGCAACCTTGACGTCGCAGTGAACAAGGTTCATGGCGTGCAGGTGCCTCAGCGCCAGAGCCAGCTCTAACAAAGTCAGGTAGATGGCTTGCATGGCGCTGCCGCCACCACCACTGCCCCACGGTGAGGGGGAGGGAGAGGGGGAGGGGGAGGGGGGGAAGCTGAAGCCGCCCTGGGTTGGCCCGCCGCTTCCTCTCCCTCCTCTTTCTCCTCCCGCTGCTGTTGGGGACTTGGCCGCCGGTGCCGCGAGTGTGAGGGCGGCATTGTGGCTCTTGGCTGTCGCGATAATGGCCTTCTTGAACATGCCGTTGTCCAGGGCATCGGCAAGAGAGCCCAGGTCGCAACGCTGCAGGGAGGTTGGGGGCAACATGGGACACGTACGGCAGTTAAGGCAAGGGTGAGTGGTGCTCACCTCCGGGCCACCCGCACCTGGGGCCCAAGCGATGCCTTCCGTGCGCTCTCAAACCCCCACCCCCACCTCCCCGACCCCGCTACCACACACACATGCATGTGTGACCCGGGGCTCCCTCACCTCCATGATGAGGACCGAATGAAGAGGCCCTGCGACGGAAGAAGCAGTGGTGGAGGGAGGTGGAGAGGGGAGGAGGGAAGGTCAGGCGATGAAGTATGACACGAAGGGTTTTATCCGTACGGCTTAAACTGTAACTCCGTACCGAGGCCGGGATCTATCCGGTAGGTATGGGGGCCTGATGTCAGTCCTTTCACATCCCCCTGTGTCTCCCCCCCACACACACGCGCCACACCCCTAAACCCACCAGTCGCCTCCCCGCCCTCTCCAAGCGGCACAACCCTAAACCCACCAGTCGCCTCCCCGCCCTCTCCAGGCGGCACCGGCACCAGTCGTGGCAGTCCCTCGGGTCCCTCCCCCGAAATCACTTGCACGCGAGTGTGGTACGAATAAACCTGCAGCAGCATCAGCAGTAGCAGCAGCAGTTGCAGCAAGACACGGAGGGCGGGGGTGGTCACAGCCGCTGCGAGGGGGCGCTCGCAGCCGATTGACTTGATGGGATGGGAGAGCTGCGACACAAGCAACATGAGGGTGCGGAGGGGAGGGGGGACAACACACGCCGCGACGGGTCGCAGGCCTTATCATGGCCCCAACCGCCTCCAGCCCGATTTCTATGTGTTCCCAACTAATTTCGTCTCCCCTCCCGCCCGTTCCCTAATTGCCTTGTCTCCCCCTTCGCTTTCCCTCCAATGCTGGTGTTGGGGGTTTGAATGCGGCTTCGCAGGTTCCCGCATTCGACGGGTTCCGTACGTGGTGGGTTGATTGCAGGTAAGGTGGGGTGGCGGGTGGTGGTGGCGGGTAACGAGCTGATGGGGATTGCATGGATAGATGGATGGGTTGGCGGTAGTGGTGGTGGTGGTGGTAAAAAACAGTGAAGGGGTGATGGTGTCATGCGGGAAAAGGCCCTCCGCTGAGTATGGGAGGTTGGGGGGATAGTGGGGTTAGTTGTCCGGGTGTGGTGCTTGGGGCGGCGAGTGGGTGTATGTGGGGGGGGGTTACGAGGCGGTAGAAACCCCAACCCTCCCCCTCCCTCTCCATCTTCTCCCCCTTCCCCGCCCCTTCCCCCTCCCGCTTCCCCTCCCCTCCCCCTCCCCCTCCCCCCCTCCCCGCCCCCATTCCCTCCTCTTTGACCTACCTGGACGATGGAAGGATGACTCAGCGTGGTCAGTACGGCACATTCTCGGGCGCTGCGGACCAGCTCCCGCATCTGCGCCTGCCGTACAGCGGTTGCCAGCTCTGCCAGGCGCTCCTCCTCGGCCTCCTCTCCCGCCCTCTCCTGCCGCTCACTCCCCGACCCGCCCCCTACCGCGCCGCGGGTTGCGCCCGAGTCCCCCCGCGGCTGCATACCCGCAAGAGCTTCCACGTCCACATCAGGGGGGGGCTCGATCACCTTGACCTGAGGTGGGGTGCAGTGCCGTGCGGTACGGC